CTAGGAGTGCCAAGGTTAGGCACCCAAGGAGGTCGACCACCCCTCCTCAAAGAGTACGTTAAGCTTCTGGTGGTCTGCCTGAAGATGACATCAGTTCTCCCAAAAATCTTACAGGCGAAAATGACGGGCATGTCCCTAACGTAAGCCTGCCAAGCGTAGGTAAGGCTAAGCCTGTGCTGAACCGTAACAATAGGGCAGCTGGACGGATACTCAAAACACGTATTGCCGAACCCGACTAGCATGCAAGAGCTGGACAAGCTGCAAGGAGTCGCCTGTGATGTGAGGAGAGGGATAGAGAGAGTTTGGARGAGAAAATCCTTTTAGATATCCTTCAGTCTGCTTGTTTCTATGACAACTCTTTTGGCCATTTAGTGGAACGGTATATCTCCACAAATTTCTGACAAAGGCCTACGGGTTTATCATCGTTAAAAGCAATCCATCGAATACCAGTTGATGTAGAGGTGAAGTAAGAGCGAGTATAGGGTGAAGAGTGGTTTTGTTGGCTGTTTCAATAATTTAAATGGTGTAAAATAGAGAGGAGGAGAGGGAGGGGGGTAGAGATAGGGAAGGTGGGTACTGGTTTGGTTCTCGGTTGTGGCTTGACATCGTTTACGATCAAAGCTATATTTCGATAAAAGAGCAAACAAATGATGGAAGTGGAACTGAATAATGAATGCTTATCAAGCGTGTGATTTGTACAGGTTATTGAGACAAGGAGGCAGGTTACTGAGAAGGGTGATTTTATCATCAATGTGATCTCTGAAATCAGATTTTATCATCAAACATTTCATTTTTAAAGGGACTTTCACTCGAATATGGCCAATTTGGATCTGGTTTGTTATAACTTACAAATTTGAATTGCATTTGTGGTACGAATACCATTTCATGTTGTATCACTTAGTCGCCAGTCGCCGAAGGAAAGGAGAAGAGTGACATAGAGAGACGGAAGCTCGTATCTTTCTTCGCACATGGACTAAGGGAGTCCCGTGTTTAGGAGAGGTGGCTTTCCCTAAATGGGAGGACACTGATGGCGGACAGAGTGGGAAGACAGACGATTCCATCCCGAGTCCCCTGTAGTCGTTACGCAGCAGCTAAACGAGGTTTTTCAGTAAAATTTCTTTTTCGTGAAAAACATAATCTGAGTTTTCCATGGCGTCTCTGGTTCGATTCGTCAGTCATAAGAGGCTTCAATCCATACACTCCGTAATGATTTCTTTGTATCGAGACACTGTATTCGATCACTCTCTTTCATCCAGGTATTGCTTCTTCACCTCTAGGTTCGTTCTTTTTCAAGGATTTTGTAGTTTAATGTTTCTCTTTATTTTTATTGATAAAAAATGTTTCTTTTTTATTTTTGTGGTTTGGATATCACCTTGCATCCATTTCGTCGTCGTTCACTTTCAAGATTTCATTTTGGATTTTATAGTAACGAGATAGTTTATAATTCTTCCACTTAAATATTAGTTAGATTAATTAGGTTAATTACGTATTTTAGCATTTATTTCAACAATTAGTACAATGGGCTAGTCTCTTTCCGGTTGCTGATTGAGGCTAATTATGGCGGCATAGTGTTAGTAACATGATCTGTGAGTTGCAGACTGTGAAGTCACCAACTAAAGTCTGCTGAACTGTCAGCCTCGACTAGATTTGCTTGATATAGTTGTAACTTCCATTTTCCTTTTTTCTCTCGACTCATCCTTATCTGAATGCACCTTCTCTAGAACTGAGAGCTGGTCAGGCCTTACATGTATTGCAGTTTGTTATGAATGTCAACCATGCAGATTCCCTTTCGCATTGGTGGTCGTTCTGATTTTGCCAGTGGCTAGGTCTGTTTCTACAATCAGCAACTTTGAGTTGCAAAAGGGTTTTGAATGAGAATGGTTTCTCAAAAATAATGATCTTTAGTTCTTTACTAGTGTTTTCTTTCATAGTTGAAGAGAAGAGAAAACTTTCCAGTCCTTTTTATCTTTCTCCCATTCATTTTCAAGTTGACACCAACGACCAATCCATGATGAAAAGGAAAAAGAAGAAAAAGGAATGGCTAATTATGAGTAGAAGAATGGGTTTTAGTCTCATTCAAGCATTTGAAAGAGACAAGTGGAAAAATAGATGATTCTAAGATAGAGAGGATGAACTAGGAGTATAATCATTTTAAGACACAGAGGAAATCCTTGGTAAATTCAGAAATGAAGCCTGTATAATTTTGGTGAGAAAGTATTGGGTATAACAATAATTCTTATAACTGACCCATAGACTACAAAGTGAAAAATAATGTCCACGCTATATTACCTTTTGGATTCATATCTGCTAAGTGCTAACCTTTTGAATTCTGCTAGTAAATATTGAAAACTCCAGAAAAAGAAAAAAACCTTATCCTCTTTTTTTTTTTTTTGAAAAGTGGATTAGTATGGTTGATTGAGTAAGGTGATTGCCATCAGTAATTGGATGGATGTCTACATGTTCAGTTGGCCCTTGGCCCCAGAGGCATCTTATTTGGGAAGCTAAATCTTTGCCATATCGCTTGAACAGCTTGTTCATGTAGATTTGTAGATCATCAGATGACAAAGAAGGGGGTAGGTAGAGTTGACTTAGTAGGCCTGAGATTTCATTTACTAAGCCTTCGATATAATTTTATTACTTGAGGTTGAGAAATGTCACTTTAAGATGTTTACTTGTTCCCTGCATTCATTTTATTATTATTATTATTATTATTATTATTATTATTATTATTATTATCATCATCATCATTATCATTATCATTATGATTATCATTATCATTTGAGGATTGGTATAGTATTGTATTGAAAGAAAACATTTCACAAAGAGGGCCATGTAAAACAAGCGACTGTACATTGAGGATTTACAAAAAAAAACAACATATATTTGAGAAACTGAAAGAGCATATCTGTGAAAAAAATTTGCAGTAAAAAAAGCACTGTAAGGCTTTCCTTTAAACAAACCATGCATATCTGCCCAAGACAGAAGCATTCCTGATTCTCTTGGTTACCACAGCTTCTTCACTTATACTGTTTTCTAAAGATACATGCATTTCTTCCTCACTCATTCTATTATATATTACTATTAATAGTGTTGTGTTGTGAATTTGTGATTGTTGTTACTGATTAAAAATGAAATGAACTGAGGTTCAATTTTGAGAACGAAATTATTGATGTTCTGTTTGGACAAAACAAGTATGATGTTTAAACATACCAGGATTAGAAATTTGTCCATAAAATGTATTTTCACACATGAAGCTAAGGTGGCATCCTTTTTCCCCCAATCCACTACTTTTTCCATGGAGCTAGTTTAAAGCCTGTCATTTTTTCCTTGTCTGAACTATATGGGGCCGACTAAGTTAAAAGCCTCCATCATGTGCTAATTTCAATTTTCAAGGTCATTTGTCACATAGACTCTCCTAAATGAACAATGTGTTTGTGTCAGACATGCATTCACCAGAGTCCATGGATTATTGAGGACATTTTTACATGACATTTTCTGTCTCCTAACTTCATCATCATCATCATCATCATCATCAAAGCCTTATCCCTAGTGGCAGAGCTAGGAACTTTCTTTTGGGGGAAGCAAATTAAGTAAGAAAATGAGATAGGGAGTAGAGGAGGTAGGGTTTGGAGAGAAATGGGGCAGGAAGGTTTGGGTCTGTTAGCAGTTTTTTTTTTTTTTTTAAAGAAAATAAACAAAATTTTTAGTTTTGTGAATTGAAGGAGGGTTAGAGAGTGATCCTTAACATTTTAGTGGGACTTTCAAGGTTGGGGAGGGGGGGGGGGGTGCAAGGACCCACTTAATTATGCTTCTGACCCTGCCTCTTCTTACTAACTATATAAATAGTGGTTTTAACAAAAAAGTTTGGGGGACTAAGGACCCCCCACCAATATGCTTTGCTCCACCCCTGCTTATCCCAACTATATGGGCTTGGCTACATGAATCCTGTTTTGCCATTCTGTTGTTTAGTGCCATATCCATTGTTAAATAATAAGTGCTTAATCATTTCTTGCTACTTCAAACCATGTCCTTTTCGGTCTGACCCTAGCCCTTCTATCTCCTTCAACTTGCCACAGATCACTTCTGTCTCCTAGCTTATTTGACATAAATGAACAGACAATGTAACAAATGTGACTTAGTAATCAAGGCAACATTTTTTGCAGGTATATAATCTTAGAAAGCATAAAATATGAACTATTTTAATAGTATAAACTTTTCCATAAACATGTCCACGAGTCCATGTTTTATCATCTTGCTGAGTCAGACTCCTGGATGGACATGTGTCAGAAACCCTTATTGTTTAAATGAACTTCTAAAGAACCAAAATGGCCAAATTCTGGTAATATTGCCTGAAGTAGCATTTGTTGTTCTCTTTCTATGGATTAGTTATCTATGTATGTGCATTTTAGATTTATTTATTTGTTTCCTATTCCCACTTTTAGTCTGTGTGGAAGCTCGAATGAATAAGAAAACGAGTAAATTTCTTCTTGGCTTTCAAATCTGATGGTCTTTCAAGGCTAAGCAAGATCCTCTCCTTCAACAATATTGGTTTTTAGGGACACTGCAGTGTTTGGTAATAATGTTTATCTGATGACTTCTTTGTACTACTTTATGATTAATTGGTAGCATTCTTTATGCAGGGGTTCTCTGGTCTGTTTCTGCTGTTCAATTCAAGCCATGCCTAGACTCTTATATTTGCAGAGGACAATTTCCTTTAAATGTTTTTTTACTCATGTTGCATGTGCACACCAGAGAAGCTATGGAGCAACTAGCTGTAGCTTAGAATCGTTATGCATGTCTACTCTGTTTTCTTCTTTGTGCTCAAAAAATACAAATTTGCATGAAATCCATAATGCTCTTTTAAAATGGCAACAAGTTAAATACATGAGCAATGTTCCAGTGATGCTAAAAACAGACAATGATATGGTTAGATTTTGCCTTGATAAGTTACCGCCTGACAAGAATGGGTCCCAAATAAAAGGGAAGAAGATGCCCAAACGTGTGAAGATGTCCAAAAAAGCAAAACTAAATGAACTCAGATTCTACCGACTCAAGGCCAAGAAGAAGATCAGGTCCCCAAATCCAGAAGTTAGGATTAGATACAAACTTGAAAAGGTTGGTATACTTAATGCAACTCTTCTTTCCCTGTTTAAGATGCCACTTTCTTTCTACCATGTAGATGCTCTAGACAAGTTTTAAATAAAAATTATATGAATAAATTCCTTGTGTACATTCTAATTCTTTTTGGAAATCCTTAAATTATCTCTGAGCTTGAACCTTTATATTGGCCTCACTGTAGGATTCACTATTTTCAAGTGATTTCACTAGAAGGAGAAGAGGGGGATATCACATATGCCATCTTGCATTAGTGTCTTTCTTCTGTTTTCGGCAAATATATATATCTTCAGTAATGCAAAATATTAGATCAATATCACTGAAATTTTATTTTACCTGCCACAGGCTAAACGGAAGGAGCTGTGGCTGATTGAAAAGCTGAGGAAATTTGAGGTTCCTAAAGCTCCGGCTGAAACATATGATCCGGAAAGTTTGACTGAAGAAGAAAGATTTTACCTAAAGCGCACTGGTGAGAAGAAGAAGAATTATGTCATAGTTGGAAGACGTGGAGTATTTGGAGGTGTAGTTCTCAATATGCATCTCCATTGGAAGAAGCATGAAACAGTGAAGGTTGTTTGTAAACCCTGCAAGCCTGGGCAGGTTTATGAATATGCTGAAGAACTTGCACAGCTAAGTAAAGGCATTGTAATTGATATAAAAGCCAACAATACTATAATATTCTACTGTGGAAAGAATTATGTCCAACCACAGGTTATGTCACCTCCAGATACCCTATCCAAGAACAAGGTACTGCTCTCCATCCATCCTCTATTTCATCTTGGAAAGAAAAGATTCAGTAGCTTTATTTATTCACTTGCAATTTGATAAAGAAAAAGGAGCATAATTAATAAGAACCCTGAGAATCTGGGAAAGAGTTATAGAGGTGCATAATTAATAGCAGATGTTATGGACCTTGTCATCAGCACCCTGAGAATCTGGGAATTTCCAAACCTTGAAAGTAGGGGTGCTCATGGTTCAGTTAACTTAACTGTGGGCCTATTTTCCAAACCCAACCGGTTATTGGAAAACCGTGAACTCAAATCGAACTGAAGCCAATCAGTTAACTGGTTGATCAGTTTGGTTCGTCTATTTTTCGGTTTTTTGATATTTATAATGTATATTATAAATAATATACAAATATATAATAAAAATACTAGAAGTACATATAATATATTATTTTATAAAGAATAAATAATATATTATATATCATAAAAATATATATTTATATTAATGCATATATTCATTTATATATATAAAATATACCGGTCGATTCAGTTAACTGCTGGTTTTTTGTATTAGTTAACTGAAACTGAACCAGTAACTTTGGTTGTTCAAAAATACTGAACCAACTGGTTCGGTTAACCGGAATTTTTGGTTTGGTTTTTCAGTTTTTGATGATCACCACTACTTGAAAGGAGGAAAATCAATACTTTGTTATCTTACATGAGGGGGGTTGGGCACTTGGGCAGTCCTTTTTGTAAACCCTTATCTTCTTTTTAAATCATGTTCTCCCATTTTAAAACTAAGGAACACCAAAACCTGTTAACTTTGAACAGGACAAAACCTAGTTGACCGACAACTATGACTTTGACTTACATAACTTTTAATGTCATCAGTATTACTATTACAACTAATCTAATATAACAATAACTTCCAAATTTTATACAAGCTCAAAGTAAAATAAAAATGACCATATAATCAGAAAATAGCTACTATTTATTATGAAAATATCCCATGTATCTATCTAGTTGACAATATCTCCATATCCACAAATCAAATTGCTATGAAACTTCATGTGATGCAATAATGTGCCAAAGTCAACTGTGGATAAAGTTACTTTCTGATCAAATGGTTGGGTTTCTCAATATAATGAATTGTTCTCAAGCTGGGCATCCTGGGAAGTGCAGCACTGCAAAATTTCCTTGTTCCTTCCATTAGCTTATTTATGTCTTTGTCTCTATAACTGATAACTCTTTATCATTTATCCCCATCTTGAGTGAACTCAACTCTGATGAGTTTATGCCTGATACTGTTCATATTGCCTGCCTTTTGTCCACCATGGTATCCTATTTTTTTCTAAACTCATTTTATGGATTTGTTGCTTCTTGATTCTAAATATTTGCTTCAGGTAACATTTTCACTTATAGCTAAGGACTGGTACCCAATGTTGGTCCCAGATTTTTTTTGGGGTGGGGCACAAAGTGGCTGCTCTCTGACTTGAACCCATTTTCTCTTGCTTTCAGCCTGAGATTTTATCACCACACCAAGCAGTGATCCCCATTTTTGCTCCTATAGATGTTTTACAAAAATAGAATTGTTATTGTTGTTGCTGTTGTTGTTGTTGTTGTCAGTGAAGGCTTTGAGTTTCCAGATATGGGAAAAGATTGAAATTCCTATTTTATATGTGTATTTCTTCTTTTATACCTGATTAGAATGTATCTGTCATTTCAGACGTGACTATTTTTTATACTCTTATCTTGCACATATATGGTGAAATCTTAGCTTCAATATGCTAATGTTCTCTTTCTGCTTCTTATTTCTCTGAATGTTGCAGGCCTTGGAAAAATATAGGTATGAACAGTCTCTTGAACACACAAGCCAGTTCATTGAAAAATTGGAGAAAGAGCTAGAAGAGTACCATAAGCACCTTGCTAGATACAGAAAGGGAAAAGAGACTGCATCAGATGATTCTACATCTAATATCTGATGGTATTTCTCTTTCATATCAGCTTTTATATTTCTTAAATATTGCTAAAAGAAAAAAAAATAAAGGGAAATCTCCTATAGGGTTGGTATAATATTGGGGTGCTCTTGTTTATTGGGCTTTTTCTTGCCCTGAGACCACAAATATAATATTTAAGTTGAATCCAACCATATAGGTGGCTGAAGCTTTGGATCCTAGTCCAGCATCTATCTGGTTATGATTGTCATGTCCATGTAATGATTAGTGAAATCTCAGGCAATGATTTTTATTTCTAAGCTAATTAAGTTCAGGCAAGAACATAACCCTAGCTGGCTAGCTGCATTCAAAATTACAAGAAAGAGTCACGAATCATCATGTATTAAAGCATCAAGTTCTCATCTCTAATCTGAAGGTGGAGAGCAAAGTTTGATAAGGAATCTGAAGGAGCTGGTGAAGAATTTTGAGCTCATCTCTAATCTGAAAGTCAACCTTGATAAGAGTTGCATAGCAGGAATCAACTTAGAGGAAGAGGAACTGGACTTTTCTGTAAATATTTTGGAGTGTTATATCGCTAGTTGGCCCTTGACGTACCTAGGACTTCCTCTAGGTGCAAACCCCAAGGAAAGTAGATTCTAGAACCCCATAGTGGAGAGATGTGCAAAGAAACTGGCAGCTTGGAAGGGGAAATATGTATCTCTGGGAGGAAGGATTACCCTGATCAAATCCACACTTGCTAACCTGCCAATCTATTTCCTATCAGTGTTTAGAATTTCCCAAAAAGAAGCCAAGAGAATTGAGAAGATTATGAGAGACTTCTTGTGGGAGCTGGATGATGGAAGGAAGGATCATTTGATTAAATGGGAGGTGGTTTGTAGAAATCTTCAACAAGGAGGATTGGGTATTGGTAGTGTGGATAAAAAGAATAAGGCATTGTTAGGGAAATGGCTTTGGAGGTGGCCGGTGGAAAGGGATAGATTGTGGCATGAAGTAATAGCCAGCATAGGGAAATGGTTGGGAAGTAGGTGTATCCAACAAAGCTACTCTGGCCTTGCCTTGGAAAGCTATTCACAATATCCTACCTCACTTTCTCCGCTTCGTCAGGAATGATGTTTGTTCTGGGATTTCTGTTAAATTTTGGGAGGATATTTGGCTTGGTTCTTGTCCGTTAATGGAACTTTTCCCCTCATTATACTTGGTTTATTTGTACAAAAATGAGTTTGTATCAAGGTTTGTTGTTTCCCCTTCAAATCCTATGGACCTCAACTGGGACTTTGGATTTCGTAGAGGTCTTGGGTATAATGAAATTTTGGCTTGTTTGGACCTTCTACAACTCCTTCAAAATGTTTGCTTGGTACCTGGTAAACTTGGCAAGTGGATTTGGGCCCCCAACCCTAAGGGCTTGTTCTCTTGTGCTTCTTTGTTCAGACCTTTTGTGATTCCTCAGTTTCTTCCTTTCCCGTCAAAGAGTTTTGGTGTAGACCCATTCAACCAAGGTAAGAGCCTTCTGCTAGGAAGTAGTTCATGGGAAGATAAATACTATGGACTTGCTTTAGAAGAGAAGACCTAACTCCTGCCTATCCTCGAACTGGTGTGTCTTGTGCAAATCCAATAATGAGAGTTGTTGCCACTTACTGATTTCCTGCCCCTTTGTTGCAGATTTTTGGCTTTGGTTTTCTTCTTTGTTTGGGCGCAGGTGGACGTTACCTACGAAGGTTACTATGTTATTTGATCCCTCCTGTTTTTCTTCTTAATATAAAAATATTTTTATTTAAAATAAAGAAAAATGAGATCTCCCCTTCCTCTTCATCCTCCTCCTAACCCCCCTCCTCTTAAGGAGGCATACGCCTCCTTGTGTTCGGGAGGCTTACGCATCTTGCGTCCTGAATTACGCCTCATGCCTCTAGGTAGTGGAACGCTTCGCATCACGCCTCCATGTTTTAAAACATTGGTTGCGTGTAGGCCAATTCAACCTGGTTGGACCTTTTCTTCCCTTCTATGGTCAAACCATTATGAAGGCCATTACCCAATATTGGTCCCAGATATTTGGGGTCTTGGGAGGGGTAGATTTGGTATGCCCTCAGATTCATACCCACATTCTTAAGCTTGCCAGTCTGGCATTAACCAAATAATGCCCCCCATATGGTGAACTGTTATGAATAGAGTAGAAGATCAAGACTGTAATCAGTCYTGAATCCTAATAGGTTTTAGGTTTACAAAATAGAAGAAAAGTGAGAGAAATGAGAGAGAATAGAAGAGAAACAGGAGAACACAAGTGGTTGAAAGGAGGGACAGATTCTAACAGATCTGCCGCCGCCACTTTCTTATTATTTATAGGTTATGTTTAGTACATAAATGGAAATGACACAT